GGGATAGTGGGGCTTTCCAATCAAGGAGATTTGGCCTAGACCGGTTCCACCTAAAGTTATTATTTTCTGCTGGGAGGTGTTTTATAGAAAGATAAATACCTTGGACTGTTTGTAGAGGAAAATATCTTCTTTGTGTTTGTCCCCTACTAGTGTGTACTTTGCAGGGCTAGTGGTGAGAATTGCTCTCACTTACTTGTATCTTGTTCCTTTTCTAGTTCTATTTGGAGTTGGGTTTTCTCTTTGTTTGGGTGTAGGTGGAATCTGTCCACAAATTTAAGTCAGCTGTTCGACCCTTCCTTTTTTGAGTGGCCTATAGTAAAAGGAAAAATAAGGTGGAGATGTATTAGAGCAGCCGCCCTGTGGACAATCTGGGAAGAAAGGAATGCAAGGGTTTTTAAGGAGGAAAGAAGCCTTCAAACTGTTGAGGAATGTATCTTAACTAGGGCCATTCATTGGTTAAGAACTATGGACTTATTTCATACACTCTCCTTTGATGATTTTTGGAGAAATTGGATAGTAGTGGCTAACAACCATGCAAGGAAGGACAGGAAATTTGTAGTGTGGATGCCTCCACCTGAAGGATGGGTAAAGCTGAATTTTGATGGAAGTAGCCAAGGAAACCCAGGCCCATCGGGGATAGGAGGGGTGCTAAGAGATAATGAAAGCAAAATATTAGCATTGTTTTCAGGCCCCGTGGGAATAGGAGACTCCAATAGAGCTGAGATGTTAGCGGCGGTACAAGGTATTCAGATTGTAGAACAATTAGGAGTTCAACACTTGGTAGTTGAAGGGGACTGTGAGATTGTTGTGGGATGGCTCAAAGAACCAGCTTCAGCTATGTGGTGACATAGAGATATGTTAAGGAAAGTCAACTGGATCACAAGAAACATGACTATTACCTTTCTTTGGGTGGGAAGATCAGCAAATTCCTTAGTGGATGGGTTAGCTAAGCAAGGGGCTGAAGGGAACATTTATTTTGGTTTGCTTTGTAATTCTAGTTTTGGTTAATTCTGGTCAATTTCGTTTTAATTTGATGTAAGACTTGTTAGAAGAGGTAACAACTTGTGCCTCCTCTTGGGTCTACTGTATTGTCTTATATTTCTGATTTAATAAATTATACTCATTCATAAAAAAAAAAGAATAAGACAGTTACAAGATGGTCTCCCCTCTCTGAAGGCTCATTAAAGCTGAACTTCAATGGAAGTAGCTTGGGCAATCCAGGGTTATCTAGAATGGGGGTGTTCTTGTTAGACAGTGTATGCCCTTAGCTCCAATCAGAATGATGTACATTATGACATTTAATGTAAATAAATAAAGTACATATTTGATTCATGTTATTATGGTTTATTTCTGTGTAATACCCTTAAACTGGACACATATGAGACTCGTGTTAGTTTAGAATCTTCACAGCCGTTGGATAGATATGGGGAGATTTATCCTGCCAAGGCTAACACTGATGTGCCGCCAAGTTGGTTGGGGTGGCTTGTTTCAGCTGCCAGGGTGAGACCTGAGGTACATGCAATGTGAGTTTTCTTGAAACCCTAAACCGGACCAGAATTCCAGTATTGCCCTGGACCTTGGAGATAGATGGGAAAAACTAGAATGTTACACCTGACCCCTAGACTCGATTATGATACTACACTAGGTGTTGGATTGGGTTGTCTTTGATATGCCAATCAGTGAGATCCTTAGAGGGGTTCAAAACCTGTGTATGTTGGGACAATCTGAGAATTCATCTGAGTGGGTGATCATAGTGACAAGATCAGCCCCTTTGTCGGATAAAGTGAATGATCGGGGATGCACTCTCTCAGATGGAAACCTAAACTGCTGGCAGTTGATTTCAACTATTGAAATTTGTTTTGTAAAATATATTTATATATAGAGATATACATATATATATTATGGTTTCAAAATGTTTGCAAAAGGTTTTAATTCCCGTGATTCATGTGAGTAGAGAGTGTAGCACTGTACCTTGCAGCCGAGGGAGAGGTCCTCTCTTGTCGGGCAGTGTTTGATCATTATGGGCTGAGAGGCTAAGTGTTAGACCATTGAGGGTAATACCTGATGGGCTAATTTTGCATCTGCCCACAGCCCTTGGGTTTTTATAAGGTGGCTTGACCCAGGGACCATTTTGTGTAAATGTTGGGCCCATTAGGAGCCCATGGTGATGGACTCAGGTGTTCACTGTTTCCTACAGTGAATTGGGCAAGCCTTGTAACAGAAGTTGGGATGAACCCATGTGGCTGATGTGTAGATCAATGTTTGGGTCCCACGCCATACAAGGATAGCCAACTGGGCAGTAGTTTGGAGGGTAAGTGAGCACATGGACTTAATGGGCCTAAAGCCCAATTCGAACTGGCTTAATGAGATTAATTAAAAATGGGCGGTTCTAGGATTTAGATCAGCAGATAGGATAAGGGATTATCCCTATCCACTCAAAGAGTCTAGATCCAAATGTTTATTTGGATCAGGAAACTCCTAATTAGATTAGTAAGGCTGATCTTTATCTGCAGACAAGATAAGGGATTATCCTTATCTCTTAATGAGAGTCCAGATCCAAATTAAAGATTTGGATTAGGAAACTCCTAATGGGATTAGGAGAACCTCTCTTTAAGGCTATAAATAGAAGAGTAGGGCGAACCTCCAGATCATCTAACAGACTGCTGAATTCCAGAGAGAGACAACACAGTTTGACTATAATGTCTCTTTCTCTCCTGCTCTTGCCGCCATACCAGTTCGATCTCCACCTGTGGGAGCGATCAAGAAAGGTTCTTGATATTACCTTTTGGTAGAAAAGGTAATATGAAGTCGTGCTCACTAGCCCTCCATCACATTCTTGCTGAAGAATTCGGTTCTTGCTGAAGAACCATCCTACTGATTCTGCTTCATCCTGCACCGTGTCATCTTCGGTGGAAGCAGTCTTTGGATTTTTCCTTGGGCGTGAGCACCTTCATTGGAGGTTATTATTACTTCGTATCAGGTATATCCCTCCACTCCCTTTTGGTTTCAGATCTGGTCCGGTTTGGTTTCAAGATTGATCATTGAAAATGCAATTTTCTAAAATAGGGAATGCGATTCCCACATGGGAGAGAATTTTTTGAAATTTCGCCCAACTTTCTTGCAAGGTTCGGCCATCCATATGATGGATCTCTCATCCCTTCAGTTCTGAGGAATGAGTTTGGAGAGGTGGTACTGCTCTACTCAGGTTCTTTAGGAGTTGGAGATTCTGTTAGGGAAGAGCTATTAGTGCTGTACAAGGGGTGCATTTTGCAAACCAATTGGGGGTAGAACAGTTGATCATTGAAAAGGATTCCAAGGTGGTGGTGGGCTGGCTGAAAAACCCCGGGGATACTATATGGTGCTACAAGAATGAAATTAAGAAATTTAATAGGCTGACAAGGAATATGTTGGTCTCTAAACAGTGGGTGGGGAGATCAGCAAATGCTTTGGCTGATGTGTTAGCCAAACAAGGGGCAAATAGGGAAGAATTGTTTTGGGCTCAGCTGTGATTTATGTAATTTATTACCAGTTTACTTGTAAGCTATTGGGAGAGGCTGCAGCTCGCACTTTTCCATGGGATGTTGTATTAAATTACAATTCTAAATCAGTTTCTGAATTAATAAAATTTCTATTATTCATAAAAAAAAACAAATAGGAGATTTGGAAAGAAAACTAGGACCAAATTAACTTTCTCTTGACTAAAACTAGACTTACTAAAAGATTCCTTCTACAACTACTAATATGGCTTAGAGAACAAAAGGTAACTTTGCCAATTATATAAAAAAAAAAACGAAATCAGTTTCTGAATTAATAAAATTTCTATTATTCATAAAAAAAAACAAATAGGAGATTTGGAAAGGAAACTAGGACCAAGTTAACTTTCTCCTGACTAAAACTAGACTTACTAAAAGATTCCTTCTACAACTACTAATATGGCTTAGAGAACAAAAGGTAACTTTACCAATTATCAAAAAAAAAAAAAAAAACAGAGAAGTACGAACAGGCCCAATGCAGATTTCTGAATTCCATTGCAGATCTATAAACATTCAAAATGTCAATACCCCTACTCTATACACCAATGCCCGCCCGTGAATTGGCAACAATTCCGAGCTGGCACCCACCCCAACTGTACTTTGGGCCTAAAAATTCTGACCCTGGGCTGAGCTGTCATTCTCCCAAAAAAACGAAAAAGTACGCTGCAGCTCACTGCAGAATTCTAAATTCCACTGCAGACCTACAAAAATTCAAAATGTCAAATACCCCCACCCTATACACCAATGCCCACTCGTGAATTGGCATCAATTCCGAGCTGGCACCTACCCCAACTGTACTTTGGGCCTGAGAATTCTGACGCTGGACTGAACCGTCATTCTCCCAAAAAAAGGTAACTTTACTAAACAAATAAACTAAACAATTCAACAGAAATGACACAATTAAGATTCTTTGACTGTGATCCAAAGTCAACCAATGTAAATACTTGAAGAATGTGTGATGTCTATCAAGAACTTGAGATAAAACCCATTAGGGACTGATGCGGTCTGAGGTGCTTTTCTGCATATTGAGTATTTTCTATCATTTTTTTCTCCTTTTTTTTGGAAAAAGTACCTGTCATTGCTTATGAAAACAAAAAAATAATAACCATTTTTTGTATCCAGCGGATGTAAAATGATGTACAAAAGATATATGATTCAGCCCCAGCCCCTTGCTCAGAGCATATTAAGTATTGGGGATTTTTGATGACCCACTAGAGTTTTTCACTGCCTCTGCTGGAGAGATATCTTGGTTCTAAGTTCTAACTCTGGACCTTTAATTTATTTTCTGTCTTCAAATGATTTCCATCAGCTTTGATGGTCACTTTAACTGTATTCTCTTTTCTACTCCTATTTTTGTTAAAATTGCATATATCAGTCATCATGTCTATCCGCCATAAGGTAGTTTATTTATTTATTTATTTATGAGTATGCTCATACTTTTATTTTTATCTGTTCTTTGAAAAGCAGAGTCATACTCCTGGAGCCAGAAAAAGATGAAAATGTTCAATGAAAGAAAAGGTATTAGTAGCATATCTTGGATTGCAGGTATCCGATCTGAACCTGAATACAAGGACAGGACTCCCTCAAAAGTTTTAGACTATTCTGATCCATTTGCTGTTCCCAATTTGTTGGAAGGATTGGATTCTGGGAAATTTGGAAGTGTAACAAATGAAATTGAAGATCTTCGTGCTCGAAAGATGCAAATGCTGTATCCCTTGTTTGCAAAGTACCCATCATTTTTTTCTTCCTATGTGGAGTCTGTTTCTCAGTCACCAAGAGTGACTGAGAAACCACAGAACATCCATTTGGCTTCTCAAGTTGTTATAGATTTGGATGCTGACTCTGTTGAAAATGATTGCCCTGTAACAGAAAATAGCTATCCACTTCACAAGTCATCTAGTGGAGAAATGCATCAATATGATGATCATAGCTCCATTGTGGTGGATAAAACAGATTGTATTAACCTTCAGAATCACAACAACAATTCAATTGTTGTTATTGATTCAGATGAAGAAGATGGTGGGGATGGGATTGGGACAAGACATTCTTCAATCTTGGACTTGCCAGTAGTATCTTTATTCCAGAGCCCTTTCAATGTAAAGAATGGAACAGATCTTATTCCTCATAACAGCATATTACTTCACAAAGTTTTTCAGCCTGCACATGGAAACCATGTGCAGTTGAATGCCGGAATGGGTTTGAGTGGTCCTGTTGAAGCAAACCGGAAGGCTTCTTATCACTATGAGGAGGTTGTCTTAAGGAAGCCAGCCAATGTAAACCCAATCAGGGATCTGAGTGTAAGTCTGCTTTCCTTTCTGTTTCTAAGATTCACATCTGGAATTTACACAATGATTGGATAATAAAATATGGAGTGTAACCTCATTTACTCAGGAACTGCCCATCCAAGTTTAAATGGGCAGAAACCATAATAGTTGCTCAGCCTACCTATCAACACACCTGCCCATGAAGGGAAAAGGATCATCTGTTACATTGATTTAACTCGGCTAATATTCTCTAAATGCACATGAAAACAGGACCAAGATATCAAGTTAAATCAACATGATTGACTGCAGAGCAAAAGGAACTGTGTTAGTAGAGGCTGAACAACCTAAACTGTCACATCCTTTTCTCAGTCTTCTCCTCTATCCCAAATTTCATGAAGTCTCCTACCATAGTTTGCTACTTTGCTTCATCCAAGATATCTGGGATACAATGAAACAGACTGTTTTAACCTGGGTAACTTCAGGGCGGACTGTAGAGACTGCATCCTGTGCCCTATAAGCCTTATTTGCATGGTGGCAGAATTAGGGCTTGATGGTGGGTTTCCCTTTTTGTAGTTTTAACGTGCTACATGTCATGGTGCCCGGCATGTCAATCTCCAAAAAGTTATTGCACAATGGCATGGCGATGAGTAATATTTAATTATATGTAATGACGTGTTCCATGCATGTGTGCAAGTAAAGATTAATGGGTAAAAACTAAAAATATGAAAATATTAAAGTATTTGAATTTAAAAATTAACTGATTGATTGGATTAAAAGATTAAAATCTTTGGACAACTGCTGTTTGTAAGTATTAACCTTATATAATTTATATGATATGATGATATTAAAGTACTCTGGTTTAACTTTTATGGTCTGCATGGAAACCAAGGCAAGCATTGGAATTACATAGTATAGAAGATAATTTAAATACATAGTACAATAGAACCAAAGTATTTGACTGCCTGTTGGATATGTCTTTTTTCATGATACCTTTTTTATCCTTTACTAATTTTAATTGCCTAGACTCTTTTCATAGGTATCCTTGTAAACTCAGCATACTAGAAATCCCTCCCAGCCCCTGATTTTGCTAACCCAACTGCATTCTGAATTCATCTCTATAGGGATCCACCTTAAACAAGCTTGTGGAATAGAAATACTGAAATAGCACCTCTGATCTCATTCAGCATATGAGCCAGACATCAGACTGTTATAATGACACCTCAAGAAGAGTGGTCTGGAGTGATCTAATTTCAAGATATTTTGAGCATTTTTTTAGTTGGGGTTTTGAGATGAAATTTGGTATGACAGACAGTAATGAAATCTATGGGCGACAACCAAATAAGAGAGGAATTGGAAATGGATTAATTGCTAAAATTGGAGAATTTCAAGTTATAATGCAAAACTAAAGGACAAAAATACCTGAATCAATTTAGTTCTTTAAGAATTTAAGATGTTGAATGAACTCTTTTGATGAACAATTTGTCGGCCATTGATGGCTGTTCTGGCTTTGCAAAATTAGGAAGAAGCAGTAACCCCAAAGGAAATATGCAGAAAAATCCCTCAATATCAATAAACACACTTTTGCAACAGTACACACATAAATAAATTGTCCAGGGTCAGCCACTCTTTTCTAAACTAGGAAAAATCAAAATTATGACTGTCACTCATGCAACTCATAAAGAAACTCTGGAACTATTTAACGAATAATTCTTTAATTTCAAGCATAATTGAACTAAGAAATTTTTACTTATAAAAAAACATAATTGAACTAAGACTAGATGTTCTAAAAATCCTGACTTTTGTAAATCATAGACTGTTGAGACTAATTGAATCATGAATAATATGTAAATTGTAGGATTATATATATATATATATTCAAAATTTAAAACAGTTACATTTGAAACTTCACGTCTATATTTATTATATATGTATGGAAAAGTGGTTTTGCCCTATTGTCAGTATGCATCTACCATATATGTACTTAATGGTTAATATAAAACAACTTACCAATTGTGCACTGCAAACCTAACATGATATAACCTACTTCACTTAAATGTCAACCATCCAAATGTCTCTGTAACCTACATATGATTGAAAATAAACTCAGTATGGTTACTAATAGGTCTTAAATAAGTGAAATAAATGATATTTTAGATGTGAAAAGAACAGCCAGGGTTTTAGAGAGGGAAAGTGGAGAGAAGTCATAGAAAAGTAGGAAATTCTGGGAATTTCTCATGTACAGGTTCTTTTGCTGGGTTCAGCAGAGCCCTTTTTTTCATTTCAGTAACTGAAACCAATTTTCTTAGTTGTGAAAAGAATGGAAAGTATGTAGAGAAACAGTATGCACAAATAATGCCCAGCACTCCCAACCATTTTACTATTCCTGTTATCAGCCCTTTTTTGATTTTCTTTATATTACCCTCATGTTCATTATCCAGTCCCCCTGAACAATTGGTTTTTCCTGGTGCCCTGCCTTGCCAGCATATCAGCCATACCATTCGCCATTCTTTATGACCAGACTACCATTGTATTCAGCTCCCTTGCTTCTGGTAGAGCTTTTTATTGAGTCCTGTACTCCTGTTTGTCCCTGCATTCTAGAAAGCATGTCCTAACTACTTGGTTTTACTTGCATATCATCTCTAAATGTGCAATTTCTCTTTTCTGAATGGTATTGTTCATTTGAATACAATTGATTGATGGGGGCAAAACTGCATTAATTTCTCTTCTGTTTAGTGCACAGGCGTATGCAATTCTATTTCTTTTTTTTTGCTTTATAAAGAAAGATATGTGACAATTTGATTCAATTCATTAAAGATGATAGATGCAATTACCATATACAGGCAAAACAGTGTTTGAAGGTCGATGCTGCAAGAGAAAAAGAGGCTGATAGTGGAAGCACGGAAAGAAGAGACCTAGGTGTCTATGTTGGGGTCTCGGATGATGAAATGAGTGAAAAAAGCAATGATCAAAGTAATGTAGAAGATGATGGGTTAGGTGACATATGGAGGGAAATGACACTAGCCCTAGAATGTTCTAAGGTACTTTCTCCTTCAATGTAATTGTTCATGCAATGAGAGGAATCTTTTCAAAATCACTTTTGACAAAGTTAAATCACTTGCCATAATTGTATTTATTTTTTCCATTATGGTAAGAGTATATATCCTTTTAATTTTGCTTTCCTTCACTTTTCTTAAGGAGAAGTAATGGTTAATTGTATCAATGATAAAAATGTTAGAAATGGATGATGTATCAATGGAAAGGCCATTACCTAATCATAGTTTTCAAGGTGTCTAGATGATTCTAGGCGACACTGGGGCGAAGTGTCACCTAGGCGATAAAAGTTTTATAATATAAAAAACTGACTTTTGGCTAGTTTCCAAGTTTTATATACCATTCAGCATGTATGTTAATTGAAAAAATAGCAATTCTCTTTATTACGAACATTAAATTTCCTTTAAAAATGTGGCAAATCATCACATCTAAAAGATAAAAATCTTTTACATATATTAATTTCATTATTTTAAAAAATAATACTACTATAATAAGTATTTAATAGAGAAAATTCATATTAATTAGCAGCTAAAGAAGGTTATTGACTTTATATGATAAATATTCAAGATGGAAAGTAAAATAGAAAAAAAACAAGGTTGGAGTTTCTGTTTTATTTAATTAGAGAGAGAGAATAGAAAAAAAGAACTTTATTATTCTATTCTTTCTTTCCTTTTTCTTTTCTTTCTTTCTTTTTCTCTTCTCAAAACCCTTTGATCTTTTAAATTTCAATAGTAAAACATTAAAACAAAGTATAATTGATATATATAGCATATAATAAAATGTATTAACACATACATTAATAAGATACAACAATATAAATAATATTATAAAAGGCACCCACCTAGTCATTTTTGTCGCCTAGGCGGGCGCTTAGTTGCCTAGGCGGGCGCCTAGTTGCCTAGAAAGGTGCCTAGTTGCTAAAAGTCAAGGCATTTGGGTGAGGCGCCCAGCCAAGGGCGCCTAGTCGCTTAGGCAATGCCTTGACAACTATGTACCCAATAATGCTGCTACTGGGTATCCAGGGTCTTGGGAGTGGTGGATTGAATATGTGCCTTAAAATTGGAATTTTAGCACAAAGTGACTACTCTCAAACTTAGATGTGTCTTCATGATGGACACCCACCAAACAAACAAAGTTGCATATGCAGTCATCTATACAAGCTTTCTATGGCTATGAGGGCTTGACTTACATTAATAAGAACCATCAGCTATAGAATTTAAATCCCTAGAAATCCACCTCAAAACTGAATGACATGAAGTCATGAACCCAAAATAGGCCAAGTTTCCTTCAGCAAATGAGGTTTGGGGGGCAAAGCCCCCCAACCGAAGGGGCTGAGGGAAGACCACTTTCTTTCCCCTTATCTTTTCTTCCCTTCCCTTTCCTTTTCTTTTCTTTCCTTTTCTATTTTTTTTCTTCTCTTTCTTTTTTGATAAAGTTCAGATCTGTATATCCGTTAGTTTCAGAATACAAGACAAAGGAAAGATAGAAAGAGGAGAGGAGAGAGAAGAAGAGAGAAGAGTGAAAAGGAGAGAAGAAAGAAAGGCTGGTTCGAACTAGAGAGAAAAATCACACCTTTCTAGTTGGCCAGGTTATATTTATAGTTTTCTATATTAAACACAAATTGACTCTTGTGCCCCTACTTAAGTATGGGATACATCACTTTACTTAACATTACACCTCATACTAAACATAAACAAAAAGACTAATATGCCCCTGTATAGTCGACACTAACACTCCCCCTCAAGCTGGTGAGTATATATCATATAATCCCATCTTGTTACATATTTAGTCCACTCTTGCCGAACTCAACCCTTTGTTGAACAAATCTGCCCATTGGCTTCCTGTGTTAACATATGCTGTACTTATCACTCCACTAAGAACCTTTTCTCTCACAAAGTGACAATCAACTTCTATGTGTTTTGTTCTCATAAAAAACTGGATTAGAGATGTGGACTGCAGATTGGTTGTCACAATAAAGCTTCATCGGAGTGTCAATTGAGTACTCCATCTCCTGTAGAAGATTTCTCAACCACACTAATTCACAAGTTGTATGTGCCATGGCTCTGTATTCAGCTTTTGCACTGCTTCTTGCCACCACTCTCTATTTCTTACTCTTCTATGTCACCAAATTACCCCTAAGAAAGGTATAATAACCTATAGTGGACCTTCTATCAAATACAAAACCAACCCAATCAGCATCTATGTATCCTTCTATTTCAAGATTCCCTCCACTATTGTATAGCAAGCCACAACCAGGAGCTCCCTTCAAATACCTTACAATCCTTAGAGCTGCATCCCAATGTAGAACCCGGGGGTTCTGCATAAACTGACTCACCACACTAATTGCAAATGAAATATTTGTTCGAGTAATGGTTAGGTAGTTTAGCTTACCCACCAACCTTCTGTACCTTATTGGATCTTCAAACTCCTCACCTGTATCACTACTCAACTTGACATTCAATTCCATGGGTGTTTCAACTGGTTTGACACCCAACAACCCTATCTCCTCCAATAGGTCAAGGACATATTTCATCTGGCACAAGTTAATACCATACTTGGATCTCACTACCTCTATCCCTAAGAAATATCTTAGTTTACCAAGGTCCTTTGTCTAGAAGTGATCATGCAAAAAGGTCTTCAACCTATCAATCCCGAACCTATCACTGCCAGTAATAACAATATATCTACATATAACACTAACAAAATCTTCCCAGGACCAGAATCATAGCTGAATATTGAATGGTCGACCTGACACTATTTCATGCCAAATTTCTTCACTACTTCACTGTATTTTCCAAACCATGCATGAGGAGACTGTTTAAGTCCATAAATAGCTTTCTTGAGCCTACACACTTTACCATCCTCCCCCTGAGCAACAAACCCGGGTGGTTGCTCCATATACAACTCCTCAAGAAGATCACCATGCAAAAAAGCATTCTTAATATCAAGCTGAAACAAAGGTCAATCATACATAGCGGCTAGAGAGATCAAAACACGAATTGAATCAATCTTGGCAATAGGAGAGAAAGTCTTTGTGTAGTCAATGCCATATAACCATGAATAACCCTTGGCAACCAGCCGAGCTTTCAACCGCTCAACACTACCATAAGGTAAATACTTGACAGTGTATGCCCACTTACATCCGACAACATGCTTACCAAGGGGAATGAGATCTCACATATGATTATGAGCTAGAGTGGAGAGTTCTTTTGTTGCTTGACGACACCTTAGAGAGATAAGGGCTTCCTGGACATCCATAGGAACAAAAACAAAAGATAACAACGAAACAAACTATCGATGGGAAGGAGAAAGGTGAGATATGGAAACATAATTAGAGATAGGATGAAGGGTACAACTACGTCTACCTTTCCGTAGGGCAATAGGAAGGTCAAGATCAGAAACGGGGTGTGATGGTGTTGCAGAAACCACTGCCGGATCTGTTGACGGTGAAGAAGCTGGAGGAGCTGGTGCATCATGCATGTTGACACGTATACACTTGCTGGATAGGTGGTTGTTCAGCGGGAAGTGGCACTGGAGGCAAAGGCTTAGTCGTAGTTGGAACAAGTGGAATGGGGTCCATAACAGGAACTTGAAGTGGAAGGGAAGAAGAAAACTGGGATTATAACACTTTTACCCTTTCTGGGTCCTAGAATAGCCAAGGAAGATACACTTAGTAGAACGTGCATATAATTTGTCCAGTCTAGGGCCAAGATTATGAACAAAACACACACACCCAAAAACCCTAGGAGTGAGAGGAAAAGGGGACAATGTAGGAAACAAAATAGAGAAGGGAGACTGACCATCAAGGATGGATATAGGCATTCGGTTAATAAGGAAGCAAGATGTAAGCACAACATCACTCCAAAAATGTTTGGGTACATTTATATGGTGCAAAAGGGACCGAGTAGTTTCCAAAAGATGGCGGCTCTTTCGTTTAGCTACCCCATTTTGTTAAGGGGTGTAAGAGCAAGAGGTTTGTTGAATAATACCATGTTGTTCTTAATATTGCTGAAAAGGCGAATAAAAATATTCTTGGCCATTATCGGAGCGCAGGATCTTAGTATGGACACCAAATTGAGTGCGAATTTCAGCATGAAACTTTTGGAAGATTGAAAATAATTCACTCATTTCTTTTATAAGATAAAGCCATTGTCATCCTTGAATAATCATCAACAAAAATAACAAAGTACTTGTAACCATTTTGTGACACTATTTTATTTGGACCCCAAATGTCCGAATGGACCAAAGAAAAAGGACTTGACATACGGCTATCGACTCTAAGACTAAAGGGAACCCGATGACGTTTCCCATACTAACATGACTCACAATCCAAAGTAGAAAGACAATTCAATGTTGGAAAAAGTTGCTTAAGAGCTTTAAGAGACAGATGACTAAGTCTGTAGTGCCACTAAAGAGGAGAAAGAGACAACTCAAGAGCTGTTGACGAACCACCACCACTATCAAGATAATACAATCCACCAACTTCATGTCCTTTACCAATCTTTATCCCCATCTTGAGATCCTGAAAGACACAAGATGAAGGGTAAAAGGTGGTAGAGCAATTAAGGGACTTGGTCAATTTACTAACAGACATAAGATTAAAAGGGAACTTGGGAACATACAAAACTGAAGACAAAGAAAATGAACCAGTGTTAACATTACCGATACCACATATGGAAGAAGTGGAACCATTAGCAAGGGTAACAGTGTGGGTTGTAGAGGATGAAGAAAGAGAAGAGAACACACTTGGAGTCTCAGTCATATGATCGGAAGCTCTAGAATCAATGATCCAATGGGAGGGTTTGGATGCCAGACAAGCCATACCTGAGTGGGCAAGCGTAGCTGTACTCGGCTGAGAACTAGCCCGGATCAACCGCTCATATTCATTACGTGAAATACCATCATCTCTTGCTCGGAGGCATCCGTAGATGGAGGTGTCTGATTGACCTATTGGCTCTCTTGTCCCATACCACCACTAGCCACTACA